TTTGTTTAGCTAACAGCTACCTGAGGATTTAGTTATTTTACTAGTGCAGTTGATAGTACCTAAATTTTTAATCTTATTATCTAAACTATGCTCGCATTTTAGGCTGCTAATATGATAAACCAATCCATAAACCCAAATACGATTAGCAACAACGACTATGATGGGTTTATTGATAAATGCTAAAGGCGACTCAGATGATTCCTAAATTTAGAAGACATGAAGATATAGTGTAACGTATGTGTGGGCCAGGTTAACAAACAGGTTGTTGACGTATATGACAATTTTAAAATAATGAACATGACCAGATAAATAATTTTAAAGTTAAGACTGCTTGTGAAACTTCAGGCAGGAATATGATGCGTTATAAACCTTCCATAAGAAGTTACTGCATTTAGCTTAGTGACACTTACAAATATATGGCAAAAGCAACTGAAAAACATATACATCTTAAGTACAAAAAAAATCATCCAGTAAAATAGTTGAACTCGCCTGGATTATTTTTGAAAATTAGATTATTTAGTGGACGACATATATACTGCCATTCGTGAGTAGTATTGATCCAAAAGCATCCAGAATAAAACATGCAGTATGGCAATTAATTCCAGGGTGCTTGATGCTGTTGAGGTTTTTGACACTCGCTCGGATCAGAACAATCGAATGAATCCAGATAATTGTATGGTTGTCATTGAACGAACCATCTAAAAATGATTGCAGAAAACTTATAGCTGAAACTCACCGTATGTTTTTGGAGTAGTCATCCTCGTTGTTTGGCAATGGAACTCGAGAATATGAAATTAGGCAGGCAGTGGTCGGAAGAAAAGATATTACGGGATAGTGCATCGTTTAAAACAGGATGAGGTGTTAAGTGAAGGAACACTGAGAATTAGATCCAGATAACTATTTAGTCCTTGATCGCATTGTTAGTCAATGTATATTTACGCTATTTACAGGTCATATTTGCTAGAGCTTGATGTTTAAACAAGACTATGTCGCTGAAGCATGTAAATGCTATTACAGCTTGTTAACAAATCATCAAAGCTAATTAGTTAATATAGACGACCAGTTTTTATTATCGATTGAGCTAGTTTGTCATGAGGACTAATCAATATAACATTACGATAATGCATGTGAGCATTAATCAGAGGACTATTAGAATACAGGGCTAACATAAATATAAAATCGATCGAGAAAGTTGAAGTGGAAATTAGGATTAATAATAATAGGTTGCGTTTCTTTAGTTGGGCTCACCAATGTAGAATTATGGTCTACTATGATATTAGTACTGCTCTAACAATAGACCTAATCCTAAAATTGTAGATTTGTCATGATATAACTGCCTAATCTATAAGATCTTACGTGGAAGTCACATCATCGACTACACCAACTCACCGTATCGTAACATATGCACAGATCCTACGGTAACTGCTTACAACATAATTAGTAATTTCCATAAAAGGTGGGTATGTGGCACATGTAACATGAATGCTTGAGATTCGCTGAGCAATGTCATCGTTCTCTTGACAGACCTGAAAAAAAATCTCTCAACAGCCCCGAAAAAGGCAGTCCTGAAACGGATTAACAAAGACGCACAATGAAGCAAAGAAGAAGGTCTCAGCAAAATTAGTATCGGTGTGCAGTTCACTGACACCAGTGATGATATGCTGAAACGCAACACCGCCATAAAATTGACAGTATGTAACTCTCTCAGCAAACTTGTTTCTCTCAGCACAGACTCCCTAAATGCAACTGTGACCCTCAAACACTCTGTAAGCCTTTTTGATTGGGACCAATAATCGATCAATGTTAGCTCACCACTAAATCTGTAAGGACTAGGCGGCTGTTTCGTCCCATTATGTGGCTACCCAGTAATACACATTCACGACCCCAAACACGGGATTAGAACCCAGGCCTTAGGTTTCGAGAGCGAGCGCCTAGCTTCTGTGTGTGACTAGGCCCCTGGCAACAGGGTTAAAAAGAATCGAGTATCACCATCGAAAATGCCAGACATCCCAGGTCTGATAGAAAAATCAGCTAGTGCATCTGCCTTGCAATGTACCTTTTAGATTGTCCAACGAGTCAGCAAAGTTCATATGAATCCGAAACGTAATCCAACCGTCAAACGAAAAAAGACCTCGACCTGAATGTATTCGAAAACCTGGGAAATCGAATACGGTTCGACATGATTCTTTAATAATCATGAACCCTGATGACAGCTTTGTCTTTCCCTTCAGTCTGTAGGACAAGGATGACAGGATGATCTGAGAAGAGTTGGATATGAAGCATGAACTTCCCGAAACTGAGCTACTTATGGTTATACAGCCTACCCGAGAAGACTTCAAGCGCCAAAATCATTAGAGACTCCATCGTGTAGTGTCCGGTATTACTGCTGATTTTGGGGATGTTCTGCTGACCAGTCACTTGGTGAAATCGGAGGGCGATGTAGGAATACTACCTGATATACCATATTCTGAGCCCAATCCCATCAGGAATATCCCTAGGGAATCTTGCGAGACGTTCTGTCGCGGAAGAAATATCGTCGTGCAGGGTGTTCTAAAATTGCGAACCATGACTATGCGAACTATCATATTCTAGAGTGAAAATACATAAAGCCGTCCTTGGTACTTAAGGACATAGGAACTCAACAGGTGGGGCAACTAGCCAAAAACGGCGGTGATTCTAAACCCTGGCTAATTAACATAATCTTTCTATATTTCAAAGGGCGGCTGCCATTCTCGAATCATTTTGTTCCAACTGTAGTCGGCTACCAACTGGAATTCAGATGCATCTGGACAGGCCACATGATGTCACATGAAATAACCAGACGCCGTCACGCTTAGATTGCATATTAACCAACGGAGAATTACTGATTGACAACCTCGTGGTTCCTCTGTAAAAAATTGATCATGCCGTCTTAGCCTTCAATTTTATCAGCAAAACTGAGCTAAAACACTCTGCTAACAACGGGCGTTGGAATTACAACTGTTAGATGTGTTACTGATACAAGTTAATCTACAGTAGGTGGGCTGGGAAGGTCCGCCATCTTATGATCTGCGAAACAGTCTGTCACACAACCAGCCCTTAAATATTACAAGTACTATCAGTCATTGTGAGTCACACACTTCGAATGCTAAGACGCAAAAAGCACTACAGAGTGAAATGTCAACAAACTAGTGACAATAGTACGTACAGACAGTTCAGACAAGTAAGGTACCAATGCGTAAAGGCAATAAGAGAAGACAGACTTCAGTATTAGATGATGCAAAACCACTTAGCCTAATGTTCTCACATTCGCTAAACTGAGGTACAGTTACAGAGAATTGGAAGCCTACTCACATTACAGCAATATTCAAAGGAGGCCAACGTAATGAACCTTTAAGCTACAGGCCGATATCATTTCTCTCAATACCGTCTACAAATATGAAGTCCCTGATATACGATGATCTACGTGGCTGCATGTTATCCATAAACTTCTTTTCACCCCAACAGCACGGTTTTAGGAAGGGTCACTTTTGTATAATCAAACTTCTGGCCGCGGTCGACAGATGGACAACCAACCTTGACCGCAAGAGGATGGTCGATGTCACATATCTTGGCTTTTCAAAAGTTTTTGATAGGGTCAGTCATATATATGTCTTACCAATATGTCCAAACAACTAGGTACCAAGTTACTAGACAAGCATGACATTGATCACCACCCAGTGATCAATCAATTGTGATTACATCTCAGTCCTACAGGAGGTTAGTCACGGCTCGGATAGCTCAGTGGTGACGTCTCTGACAGTGAAGCTGGGTGACACGAGATCGAATCCGCCAGGGAGCATCAGTTCCCTTAAGATTACAGGTACACCTTGCTGACGAGTGCCAAGTAGCACGAAACCCGGGTCCAGGGTTTCCTGTTGACTACCTCCAACCACCATCTAAATTACTTCATATCTAAACAATCGAATTTTTAAAGCCATGATATACTTCACGTTTTCAGGCTCTAGAATGTCTTAGTGGGGTCCTTCAGGGTTCGGTACTAGGACCTCTCTTTTCTTTGATTTATGTAAACGACCTTCCTCAGCAGGTATCCTCAGATTTGTCACTTTTCGCTGATGATGTGAAACTCTGGGGAGAAGTGTGTAAACAAGATGATAAACTTGAACTTTAGGAGGATCTGGATTGGGTTAAAAGTCGAGTGGACGACAACACTCTAAAGTATAAACTAGTCAATCTGATACATGTTATAGGCCGAGAATACAACATAAATAATTCCCCTATAGAGGTCTCACAAGTTAAAAAAAGACTTAGGAGTGTTGATAAAATATTATCTAAACTCTTAGGTTAACTAAGAGTAGTTAAATGCTGAAGTTATCTGTTGGCTGCGCTAGTCCAAGTGACTTTCTGGGAGTACTTTAAGAGAAAAATTGACACATTCTTGAGAAGTAAGGACAGTATCTCACTATAATTTACTAATATGTTTTCTCTTTTATCATTAACTATACCCCAGTCCTTACCTGGAGTCATCGGTGGTCCACTGCTACTAGATACGGAAACCCGTTAAGCAAAATCTCATTTATTTGAAAATACTTGGGGCTGGTAGAGTTTGTTTTATGTCTGGTAATCTACCACGTTTATCTCTACTGCATACTACAACTAGTATCTATCTCTCCTATCATCTCTGTTCCCCTCCTTTCAATTTCATCTCACAAATTATCAGTTAAATAAATTGGAAGATGCCACAAGTATTTTGGTCCACTACAGATGTACAAATTCACAATTAACAACCTACCTAACTGGAATTAGTGTAGTCGAGTGGCTGGACTATCAATTATCAGACTGCAACAAACACTTGGAGCCGTACTAAAACAACAAGAAATGAGAGCATATAAATCAGTTTGTTTATATAAGTCAGTGACAACGAGATTGTATATCGAGCATTTTGAAGGAGGGTAGTTAGACGAGTCTCTAATCAGCTGGTCTATGTTGCAGGAGTTTACTGGAGTTGCATAGTCTATAAAATGGGAGATGAATCTATTGAATGCTTGTCTAACGACTCTGGAGATTCATGGGATATCCTGAGTAATTCTGAATCTGAAATGGGGCGCGATCCTTCAAGTCAACCGCAATCAAACTGTCTTATCGTCTGTGCCAATTGTGGCGATTTATTGTCTGATGAGTTCCTGCAGTGCTTGTAAGTTAATGCATATAAATCGTCGTTTATTCTCATAGGTTGTGTAAAAATTGCTACGTTTGTATCAAGTGTAAAGCAAAATCTTTAGCTACAAAGTGCACAGAAGTTGGGGAACATTCATTTATACCAACACTCAGGTTGTTAACATCTAAAGATGTATCTAATTTAGAAGTAAGTCAACATTCCTCTTTTGACGTAGTTTTGGTGGCAAAATTCGGTATAATCTATTTGCTTCACAATAATTTGTAGTTGTTCATCTACTGTTAATAAGTATACTTTTGTGTAATGCTCCTAGCAGTTGCTCATACAACACAGATTGTTAGGCACTAGATGAAGCATCGTTACTTTCCATATACTGAATTGTTACTAGAAATTGTACTAGGTAGTTATTTGAAAAAAAATTAAATTGTATAAACTGAAGAATATTTAGTCTCTTTTGCTGTTGCATTGGCTATTATAATGTTGGTCAGTTACTGACTAAACTAAAAGATAAGTTCAAATAGCTAGAGATGATATAAAGTGGCTTTGTATCGATGGCATCATTGTTTAGTCACCTTTGTTAAGAAAACTGAGGTATCCCTACACTTCAAGGGATTTCCAGGCAGCTTTTTATCTGAGCTCTAGTAAACACGGTCGCTCAACTCGAAGATTCTTGACTGTTCTACTTCGTGGCAAAGTGTGACATAAGTTAGATTCGAAAAAGGTGGAGTAACATCCTTTAAAAGGCTGATTCATGTATGTAATTAAATGAAATAATAACGCATGTAATGTGAAATAGATAAGTTCCAAACATATACATAGGTTTGTTTGGATTTGTTTCTTGGTTTATCTTCAACGCATAAATAATGATTGCTAGTAAAAACTGTAAGGATCATATCTCTTGATAATATAGTGCAAAAATTTGTCTTATATATTGAGATAGTTGACCAAAGATGACGGTATGTAATCATTTTATTTGACATTTTCCGGAAGGCAAAGCTAATACTACTTACAAGGTAGGCACTGATTTATCACATTTCAGTTTTTTATGTTCGATCCTGTGTATGTGTGGTAGACCACACGATATGAAAAATAGAAACTTATTCTGTTGTTTACTTAACGCACCTCTGTTTTAGTTTTGGAACGTTAGTTTCGACCTCTTGAGTACATTTGATATTCAATGGTTCTTCAGCAAGTGTAACAATAATGGTCTGTTTTTATAGTGACTGGTCAAAAAGATATAAAGGTGAATGTTAATGTAGTTAGGAATATTCATATTGGTTTGAAGTCTCTTAGTGCATCATGATTTTGTAAGTGGAGTCCCAACAGTTATGAAGCTGAGATCCGGGACGTTTCTAGTTGTTTTAAGTACAACCTTTAAAAAAACTATGTTTAGAGAATGATTATATTCCCAGAGGAAGTGTTGCGCAGTATAAAATTCCAAGATACTCAATTGAGTTTACAGATAAGTGTCTTAGAACCTAGTATGTTAGAGATATATGTATGTATACAATTATTTATAAACACGTATTTGTTTATTTATTTGAACACATAAATATTGGTACAAGAGGGCACTAAATATATATGCGCCACACAAAACATTGGGAATGGGAAGAGAAAAAAAACTAACGAACAGATTAGTGTAAGGTAGTGTAGTAATAATAATAATAGTAATAATGATGAAAACGGAAAGGTACAATCAGAAGAAATCTTTCAGTTATGGAAGATGCAACCACTTTTTATGAAGAAAGTAAGAGAAGGTTACAGCAGGATCGCCACTGGCTTCTATTCTGAGCCATATCTGATAACGTCTCTAGCCACTGTGTCGCACCATCTCTCAAACCCCAGCCAGGGAGTCGTGAAGGACCAACAGAAGCCAGTCCTTTACAGCTTTCTTTCGTCCCACGACACCATGTCATATACTGATCACATCTACGCTTTTTCCAACCAGTCCCAGAATCGGCAAGTAATACACGACGTGGAATTCTCTGGGACAACATTCGTAGAACATGTCCAAGCCACCGAAGTCGGTGTTTCAAGATGGTGACACCAATTGAGTTATCATCTCTGTGCCCGAACACACGATGCCTAACCTCTGCATTACTGACTTGGTGTTGCTACTGGATGTCAGCAATCCTTCGGAGACAACTATGATCAAACACAGTCGTCTAACGTCTTCAACTCAGAGAGGCCAGGTTTCACAAGCGTAGAGCAGAACTGCTCTCACCGACGCGTTATAGATCCGACCTTTCACAGCCATACTGACATCACGAAGGCTCCAAAGATGGCCCAGATTGGCATAAGGCGCTCTGGCTTTCACTATACGTGTATTGATCTCATCACTCACACCCCCACCAGCACTTATGCAGCTACCTAGATACACGAACTTCTCGACTACTTCTATCTGCTCACCATCCAGGGTGAATACAAGATTAGAATCCTGCCAGTCCTGTAGAAGTACTTTACACGTCGAAGGTGCAAAGCACATACCGTACCTACGGACACTGATTTCCAACTGATTAAGTGCGGATTGCATGGCTTGGGCATTATCGCACAGTATGACAATATCATCCGCATACTCAAGGTCGAGAAGTTTTCTCCAGGCAACAGATCCACACCACCATTACTTACATCCACCAGAGCTGTTTCCAGAATGTCATTGATGGCAAAGTTCAAAAGGAATGGTGAGATTGGGCAACCTTGTATATGTATATGACGTTATTTGGATGTTTATATGCATAGATCTTTTTCCCTTGTTATTGTTTATTGATCGTATGACACATTGTAAGCTCATGTATTACACTTACCTATTGCCAGTTTCTAGTTATTATAATGTGTTTATTGTTCGAGAAGTTTTAAAGGTCAACAGTGTTGATTGTGTTAATGACTGATTGACACCACTAATGCTATATTATGTAATCTAGGCACTCGAATTATTGATCCCATTTTAAGTATAAACCATCTTCACTATTTATATTCCCGTTTGTAGGTTGTAATTATTTTTCTATACACTTCAGTATTGACTACTGCGTACATGGTTTTTGAGTAGCTGTTACTTACTTACTTACGCCTGTTACTCCTCGTGAAGGAGCATAGGCCGCTCACCAGCATTCTCCATCCAACCCTGTCCTGGGCAACCCTTTCTAGCTCCGTCTAGTTGTAATTCATCCTTTTCATATCTGCTTCTATTATCCGACGCAATGTGTTCTTTGGCCTTCCTCTTCTTCGCTTCCCTTCAGGATTCCAAGTTAGGGCTTGCCTCGTGATGCAGTTCGACGATTTGCGTAATGTATGTCCTATCCATTTCCATCGTCTTTTCCTAATTTCTTCTTCAGCTGGAAGTTGGTTTGTTCTCTCCCACAGAAGGCTATTGCTGATGGTATCCGGCCAATGGATGTTGAGTATCTTGCGTAGACAGCTATTTATAAATACTTGTACTTTCTTGATTGTGGTTGTTGTAGTTCTCCAAGTTTCAGCTCCATACAGTAGAACTGCCTTGACGTTCGTATTGAAGATTCTCACTTTGATATTGGTTGAAAGTTGTTTTGAGTTCCATGTGTTCTTCAATTTTAGGAATGCGACCCTTGCTTTGCCGATCCTCGCCTTTACGTCTGCATCGGATCCTCCTTGTTCATCGATTATGCTTCCCAGGTATGTGAAGGACTCTATGTCTTCCAGAGTTTCGCCATCAAGTGTGATTGGATTGCTGTTCTCCGCTTTGAATTTGAGGACCTTAGTTTTCCCTTTGTGTATGCTGAGGCCTACTGATGCAGAGACTGCTGCTACACTGGCTGTCTTCATCTGCATCTGTTCGTGTGTACGTGATAGGAGTGCTAGGTCATCTGCGAAGTCCAAATCGTCTAATTGGTTCTGAGCTGTCCATTGTATTCCGTGTTTTCCTTCAGATGTTGAGGTCTTCATAATCCAGTCGACCACCAGAAGAAAGAGGAAGGGAGAGAGTAGACAGCCTTGTCTGACTCCGGTCCTTACTTGGAATGCATCTGTCAGCTGTCCTTCATGCACTACTTTGCACTGTAGTCCGTCGTATGAGTTCCGGATAATATTGACAATCTTCTCAGGAACTCCGTAGTGTCGAAGAAGTTTCCATAACGTCCTCCTATCTACACTGTCGAATGCCTTTTCATAATCAATGAAGTTGATGTATAGTGATGAGTTCCACTCAACTGATTGTTCGACGATGATCCGTAGTGTTGCAATTTGGTCTGCGCACGACCGATCCTTACGGAATCCAGCTTGTTGATCTCGAAGTTGGGCGTCTACTGCATCCTTCATCCGGTTCAGCAACAATCTGTTGAAGACTTTCCCTGGTATTGACAGTAGTGTAATGCCTCTGTAGTTTTCACATTTGCCCAGATCTCCTTTCTTTGGAATCTTGACGAGGTGTCCTTCTTTCCAGTCCATCGGCTCTTGTTCCTCCTCCCAAATCTTTTTGAATAGAAGATAAAGCATGCTTGTGGTTGCTTCGATGTCTGATTTCAGTGCTTCAGCTGGTATGTTGTCGGGTCCTGCTGCTTTCCCGTTCTTGATTTGTCTGACTGCCACTCTAATTTCTTCCGTAGTTGGTGGATTGACATCTATAGGAAGATCTATGTGTGCTGCTTCGATGTTCGGTGGATTCATTGGAGCCGGCCTATTCAGGAGTTCCTCGAAGTATTCTACCCATCTGTTACGCTGTTGTTGAATTTCGGTGATTTTCCTGCCTTCTTTGTCTTTGACCGGCCTCTCTGGTTTACTGTATTTCCCTGATAGTTTCTTCGTTGTATCGTGAGGCTGTTTCATATTTCCTTCTCTAGCAGCTTTTTCTGCCGTCGTTGCTAATTCTTCAACGTATTTCTTCCTGTCGGCTCTAATGCTCCTCTTCACTTGCTTGTTTGCTTCTGTGTATTCAGCTTGTGCTTGAACTTTCTCTGTTCGTGTTCGGCTGTTTTTAATTGCTGCCTTCTTGTTCTTCCTTTCTTTGATCTTGTCCAGTGTTTCTATAGAGATCCACTCCTTATGATGGTGTTTCTTCAGGCCCAGAACCTCTTGACACGTTGAAGTTAATGCTTCTTTGATGCCTCTCCAGTTATCCTCCATAGTAGTTTCTTCTTCCTTCAGTAGATTTTGTAAGGCTTGGAACCTGTTGTTGAGAGCTATCTTGAATTCATTGAGTTTGTCAGTATCTCGAAGGAAGGCTGTATTGAACCTTTGTAGTGCTGTTTTTCCACTTGTCCAGTTCGTTTTTAGCTTCAGTTTTAAATTGGCTACAACTAGGTGGTGATCTGAAGCTACGTCAGCACCTCTCCTGGTTCTCACATCTTCCATTGTCCTTCGGAATTTTTTGTTGATGCAAATATGATCTATTTGGTTCTCTGTAGTGTGGTCCGGTGAGATCCATGTAGCCTTGTGTATACGCTTGTGTGGAAATATTGTGCCTCCTATGACCAATTTGTTGAATGCACATAGATTTGCAAATCTTTCTCTATTTTCGTCTCTCTCTCCCAGTCCATGTCGTCCCATAATATCTTCATATCCAGTGTTGTCTATTCCGACTTTGGCATTTAGATCTCCCATCAGAATAGTTAGGTCCTTTCTTGGGCATTTCTCAATGATTGACTGCAGCCGCTCGTAGAACTGATCTTTAATGTCGTCGTTGCTATCATTGGTGGGTGCATAACATTGGATAATATTCATAAGATCTCCTCCTTCTTAGTTTTGAATGATGCTTTGATGATTCTGGATCCGTGAGATTCCCATCCTACAAGTGCATTTCGTGCTACTTTGGACAGCATAAGAGCAACTCCCTGAGTGTGTGGAGCATTGTCCTCTTCGTGACCGGAGTATAGCAGCATCTCTCCCGTAGCTAGCCTTTTCTGTCCAGCTTGGGTCCAGTGGGTTTCGCTGATTCCCAGTACTGCTAAGTTGTATCTCCTCATTTCCATTGATATTTGACTGGTCTTCCCGGTTTCCCACATTGTTCGAACGTTCCATGTACCTATAAAAATTTTTGCTCTGGTTGTTAGAAGGGGCATCGGCCTCGTGGCTTCCGAAGGAACTCGGCTTTCACCATGAAGCGTCATAATTCTTCTAAATGAAGACCTTCTAACTTTCAGGGCAGAGTTAAAATGGTTTGGATTATTTTTTCTGGTAAGCGTTTTTTTAGCGAGTTAGTTTTCTACGGGATGGGGACGCTAACCCCATGCCCAACCCTCCTCCTTTACCCGGGCTTGGGACCGGCAGTAACCCTATAAGAGCTACAGGCGGAGTTTTTTGAGTAGCTGTACTTATCAATTATTAGTATAAATCTGCTGCATTGTTTCGACAATCGCCATTTTCCACTTGTATAGTGATAAAATACTACGACTGATGGCTTATCTTAAAATTATGAATGGAACTAGTTTTTATATAGATTACCACAGTGTAACTCACATGCTACATGCAAGTTCATATACTCGGCTTTAAACTCTACTCTTTCGTATGAGGGATAATCGTACTAGCTGGTTAGTCGGGGCAAATAAAGCAGAACCAGGTTTGGATTTCTTGTCAATTAGTTGAATATCGAGTGCTTAATTCATTAGGCCATCTGTTTACATTGTTATGTAGGCTGCTTAAACATGTGTTTAAATAGTATCAAAATTTCACATCACTTATTTCGTCGTTATTTAATGACCTAAATGGTTTCATTTTATCTTTATTTAGAACTGTGAATCAGATATTCTTAGTTTACCGGAAACCGATAGCACTCCATCAGTTCATGAAGATTTCACTGATATAGACAACTGGATGAAAAGCAGTTCAAATACACAGTCACTTACATTATCAGATTTCAATTCCACTAAAGGTGAGGTTGAACAAATAAATTTTATCGCTTCTGAATATAATGTAATCTCATGTATTTGCACTATATTCAAAGCACTTATGAATAAATTGGGTTGTCGATATACAATTGGTTGGTTAAGCCGAACTTTTTGACCTCCACAATCATTGGATATTATGTTTCCGTTCCTATTTTTCAATGATGTAACGAGTTAAACTATGTGTTTCAAAAATATCGTTTGCCTTTTGTCAACTTACGTCACCTATGGCGAAGGCGAGATATCCGTCTATCAATAAAAGGACGAGTATACTGCGCGGCAGTCCGTTCTGTTCTACTTTACGGCTGCAAAACGTGACCATTAAGGGTAAAAGATACTCGTAATTTACTAGTATTTGATCATAAATGTCTTAGAAATATTGCTCACATCTGCTGGATCACCGCGTAAGTGATAGTGAGGCTAGACGCAGGGTATTAGAGAATGATGGTAAATCAGTTGATGAGGTTGTAAATCTTCATCGACTGAGATGGTTGAGCCACGTGCTACATATACCTGAACACCGATTACCACGACGCGCAATGCTGACTAGTGTTGGGGACGGTTGGAAGAAAGTTAGGGGCGGTCAAACTAAAATGTGGCATCAGTCCTTGAAGTGACTAACTTCTAGCCTGAGCGATGTTGGTAGATGCATACTACTTGGTTGGGGTCCGCGCCACTATCATAACCAATGGTTGGAGACTGTGGATGATATGGCTGAGAATCGATCACAACGGTGTAGGTGTACGCACTCTCTTTCTTCCCTTAAACTGTGAGATTAAAATTGCTTTATACCTTTATTTCTACAAATTAATTCTTCCTGTATTATATGCTTATACACAATCTTTCTTTTATATATTGCTATCATTGAAGTAACTACTTCTATGAATTTGGTGTTCATCTTGTTGTGTTGATGAGGTGTGGCAACTTGAAATGATGCATATATGTGTCTGGTCCTACGTTGTAGCTGACTGACTAAAACTATATGTTGTTATTGATTTGTATTTACATAGCTATACATTATATCCGAGTTACTTTTAATCCTTTTACCATTACAATCGGGCTACCATTTAGGGTTCCCGGTTTATTCATTCCAGAATGGTTAGTTAATATACACCCGTATTCTTTTTTGCCATAGATATTTTGTCTAAAGTAGTCAATTAACTGACCGATCAAAACACAAGAATGAATCTGTAATAATGATATATCATTCCAAGTTTTTTCACTTCAGAGAGCTACAATGTGAAATAAAAAGTCGGTAAACGGTTAACATTCATAAATAAAAGAAACGTCGCCGATAAATCATGAAGAAACAGTCTTTAAATACCATATTAGAAGTTTTGGTTTCGCCAGTTTCAAACAACTTGACAAAATAATAGTGCATCTGTCAAAAGTTGTTATTACACGAAAATAAAAGAAAAAAAGGGAATGACATTTTCGAATGCCTATTGAAAATGGTCCTACGTCAAGACTTTAGTTGACACACTAGTGTTGCTTTTGTTTTTTCACATATAATTATAGAGGTAACTATACACTAGTTTGTATCGCATCTTTTATCTACACGATCGGTTACTATTATTCTAACGCCAAAATCTCTCCTATAATTTTGTTCATATGAAAACTATATAATTTCCTTATCACAGTTTCTACTTTTCCATCTTGTTATAATATGTTCTACACTGTAACCTGCTTACTTTGTGGTTTTTAGGTAATTTAAAGGACATTGGTTTATGTTTATCTGCTAAAGTCTTTCAGTACTTCAACTCACACATTTTTATTCTATTTTGTAACATTGCCCCCAAATGCCCTGGTACGCCCGAGAGTCGGTAACATTACTCAAAACTCACCGTCTAATTTGTGAAACTGAATATTTTTTATTTCCGTTTCTTTGTTAGCTTATATTATAAAATCATCCATTTTATTGAATTGGTTTGTGTTGTGTGATCACTTGAGATATATATCTGCGTATGATTTCATGCTGATATGTTTGCTTGTCCTTTTGACCCAGTCAGTGTTTATTAGCTAACCGATCTGTGGCGCATATATATTGGCGCTCTCTTGTACCAATATTTATGTGTTCAAATAAATAAATAAATAAATAAATAAATAAATAAATAAATAAATAAATAAATAAATAAATAAATAAATAAATAAATAAATAAATAAATAAATAAATAAGCTAACCGATCATTGATAACATAATTTCATAAGGGAGCCTGTAGTGTTTACTTACTGATTTCAGGTTTTTTGTAGAGCCAGACTTTACCGTATTAATCTGACGAAGGTAAATGAATATCCAACCTTTTGAGTTTTAACGTATTCTGTTAAAACGACTATTCAACCTTCACCTAGCATGGTTATAGCATCCAGGAATATTCCAGATTGTCCATTAAGTCAATGTAGATTGGTTATCTACGTGTCGATCTATGGCGCTTAGTAGTTTTCATAAACTCGACAACATTTTTTTCTGCTCAACGTAATTATTGATGCGTGTTGCATGATTTCTCCATATACATCTTGGATGGATGTGAACAGAGCTAATGGAAGTTGATATTCGATACTGTTATTCTGCAAATAAGTTTCCTCAATTAATATTTCGGTTTGCTCATATTGAAAGAGATAGTTATCAAACTGGAATACTCTGGAGTTTTGCATTATTATCATCAAGAGTATGTAAACATCATATCTATTAAATAAGTTGATGGCTACCTAGAATCGTTAGCTCAACGGATAATCCATTAGGATTTGAAGCGTAAACTATTAGTTTGAGTATTTGTGTAAACATCAACACTGGGATGAAGATACATCCGGTTAACTGACGAGTCCTAGATAGTTTTCCTGACGTCACTTCTGACTGCTATCCAATGATGATAAAAGTTTACATTAAAAACTCGTTTAAGTTTCAAGTGATCTATTGCTAAAGTCACATGTTTAACACAAAATGGAAATTTAAAGTCAAATGGTCTTTTTCTTATTATTCCAAGCAGTTTAATTTATCGATTGTTCTTTGTTTATGGAGTAGTAATAAAACTCCACACATTTCCGTAAACTAGTTCTATTTATTTATTGTTTATGTTGAACTTTAATTGGTCGATTTCTCATATTGAACAATTGTAAATCAAATTATTCTGATTAATTGCTTCCAATAAGAAACACATGTCGTGTTATAACAGTGAATATTTTACTAATATGGATCTATATAGTGATAGTAGTAGTAGTAGTAGTAGTAGTAGTAGTAGTAGTAGTAGTCAGTCATATAGAGTATTGTTTTAGATAGGAGTTTTTAATGTATTTTAAAATAATAATACTCTTTTGTTCTCGGTATATCAGTATCATAGTTAATGTGCCAGGTTGAACAAATAGTGCTTGAAGACTGTCGTTTAGTCCATAGTGAATCATATGACATTTGAGTTTATTGAATATTATTTAGTAATTATTTGTTCATCTTGTTCCAAAGTGATTTTAAACTAAGTAGTTGACGTTCATCACTACAAGACTTCTTCCACTTTACTAGAGCTATAGATTAGTGTTTAAAGGACCTGACTTTCAATCAATAATTTTCATGTTGGAATCTCACTCTATGTGAACCGGTTTGAGCAGCGTGGCAGCGTAGTTAGCCGTCATACAAGTAGGGTATATCTCAAATCAAAGTATATAAGCTTGTGCTTGACACGAGTTAAATTTGAGTCCAATGAACAAATATAATCACTCTTGTCGATGGATGTATATCATGCGTTAGTCATTTGGTGTATATTTGCTGTCCAAAATCTGAAATATAGTACTGGCACATTAATTGTTATAGAACTTCCAAATATCTACAGTTTTTTAACTGCAACTATTTATAGCAAAGTTGTTATCTTTTGATCTTGATTCATATCTCTGACGCCACATGGATAGTAGTCTTAAAATACGACTGATTACCAGTTAAACAGTAGCCTGCTAAAGTCAATTACTTGACTAGATTTTAGACAGTTTCATGGCATAATGTTTCATGTAAAAAAATTATTAGCCTTATGTGTAATTTCTATATATTCACTGTAGTCATTAAACGTTTTATGAATGTCAAGTTTTTCTTATTTTTGTAAGAAGCTAAATACCTATAATTCATTCGTCTTAACATTCGATTATCAACTATCAGATTATTATAATGCTTAACTGGTGAGCATATGGGTTTCGTGCTATTTTTTACTCGTCACTAAAGTGTGCTTGTAAACTTGGGGGATGTGATGTTTCCTGGCGGATTTTATCTCATATCACCGTATTACACAGTCTGATATTACCACTTAGAGATTTTCGCCATGACTGACGTCTTATAGATATAAGATATTTACAAGTGATTGATCACTGAGTAGTGATCACTGTCGTTATTGTGTAGTCTTTTAGCATTGATTAAATTCCATTGACCTAGCATCTCAATATAGTGCTCACGATGTCCAGTCATTTAGACCAGTGGTCAGACTGCAACTCGATAGGTAGAATCTGATCATTGCCAAGAGGATTAGGCAAACATGACATTGGTCATTACTCAGTGACTAACCAGCTTTAATTTCCAAATCACTGAGTCAGTCACAACTATACAAGCAATTAGTAATAGTGTATTTCTATTCTATTATTTTAGAATATGTCGAAGTTGAGGCTGTTCCATCTAGTCCTACTAATGATGAACATCAAGATAAGAAATGTTCAAATAAACTGTCACAAGGTGACAGTTCAATTTTAAATGTTTTATTACAATTTTTACGAAATAACAATCAATCGACAATAGAACCAAGTTTATTCGACTCAAAATTGTTACTGGCATCAAATTTAGAAGTGAGTAATTCATTTTCTTATGATTATTTCGATGGGATTAAATTGTCTGGAGGATCTTGACTTAATTCATCATTTACTGGTTGTTTGAATCTTCCTATTAATATGTTAAGGACTGCAATTGATCAGTCTTTTGTATTTACGTATTTGCGTATTTGCATCTTGTGCGGAGAACTTCGAACTCTTCGCTTCTACCTGAAGCTTGTGCTAATGATGTCGTTCAGAATAACGATGAAAGCTCCACGACCAAACCATCCAGCTCAGGGAATAAAACTCCATAAAAAAGGATTGTCTCGATATTACCATTGAGTTACAAGCATTATAAGCGGAGATGGATGGTGGCTAACAGTCCTCAACATCTGTGTGGAGATTCAAACAAGCAATACAAATGACTTAAAATTCACCGCATAGCTTAAGCCAGGGGCTATCTGGACTTGCTAGCTAAGTGAATAACGCACTCAGTATTGGGTTCGAGTCTCGGAGTGAAAATTAACTCTGAGTACACCCAACTGACGAGTCTCTAGTGTGATGAAACACGCGACCTGGTTTTGAATGCTAGCCACCATCCATCTCTGTTTATAATGGATCTTGATTTGTTTTTCAGTCCCGCATGATAAATTAACTAGAGCAGTTAATAGAACATTTTATACAGCCAACCTTGCGTTGAAATCTTTTAGTAGACCAGGATAAGTTACTTGAGTTTACCTCCTTAATGCGCATCTTAAAATTCAGCTGCTCCCGTGGCGATAGCTATATTAGTTGTACTACCAGGCAACTTAACCAAAGAATGAGTGTACATCTCCCAGTTTGTTTTGGATAGAGTCAGACAAAGACAATACGTAACTCTATCTTGACACACTTGATGGATAGTTGGTATGACTACACAGAATTTAAAATAGAAGTTTTACTTCTATCTACTCATACCATGACCATTGATTTGAATATTTTTCCGTTATCATTTCATGTAAATTATATTCGTTTGACAATCCGCTTATCATGTGTTCATCGCTTTTATATATCACCACTATTTTAGAATCAGGTGACTCACATTGTTAGCCAATAACCACATGACTAGAATATTTCGTCGCTGTCTGTTTTATATTAGTTTATGATTACCTAACTGTCGTATTTATACATTACTGACTATGACCTTGTACGTTGTATTTTGATTGGTTGCTTTATTCATAGTTTATGTATCTAGGTTACCAAAAAAATTTGACTAGGTTATTTTAATAAATAAAATAAATAAAAATTTTGATTTCGATTTTATAAAACTGGACAATAACAATTCGATGCTGATATGTTTGTTTTCCTGTCGTACCATTCTAGACTATTATTGTACAAAATTTCAATAAAGCAAAACATAATGTGACACGTATCGGTTAGGCTCAAAGACCAAATGTACTTTCTGCTGTTTTGGTTTTTTTTCTGTACTGTGTTTCATCAGACTACTAGTCAACGGGTCATGGGTAACGTGTAGGACAGCATACTACAGCTGTTTATCGCCTTAAGTTTACATAACACAATTATCAGTACAGCAAGAGTATGAATTAACAAGATGAGAAAAGGCAATAGTCATATCTTTTGGGATGGAAACTTAAACTTGAGATGTTGAAGTATAGGAGCATATATTGGTACTAAGCTCAGTACATTAGAGGAAGATAAAGCATAAATACGATTGTTCTACTGCAACTAATTTTTGACTTTTATCAAGTGTCTTCAACTGTAATTATTACAATTAAAACAACTTTTGGATACATTCAACTCTTTCGAAGGATTCGTTACCATAGTATTGCAAATAATGACAATAACATTGTCATTCATTCGTTGCCCAAGGTACAAATTCATGTGTTTAGGTTTAAACCACACTTTATATGTGAGGGATAACTATACTACCTGGTTACCCAGACCGAAGTAGATGAATCTGGGTTCAGACATGTGATTTAGTGACTGAAAGTCAAGTGCCTTAACCACTGAACTATTGCTACACTTTCCAACTAATTACTAGTCAGTGTATTCTATTCGATCTCCTTTTTAGTTTTAAGCGAGCAGTTTCACAGCATCTAAAAAAAAACCCAGTGATAATAAAAATAATAATCCAAAGTGAAAATGTTATCAAATGCAGTCATATTAAATTTTGACTAATTCCCATCAATCGAGGAAGTTCAAGCTATAATATTGATCAAAGTATCGAGGTTTTTGTTTTACAAAAATAATTTTTTTTTATCATTTGAAGTTTACTTCCAATTTACGTGTCAGTGTGTGTAACATAAAAGTCATACGACTACACCATCTTATTTTGTCTAATTTTTCTTTCTGACAAAAATTTCATGAATCGTTATGGCTTAATATTTGAATTTGTTATGAAATTTCTACATCTAACAATAAAAGTCACCCTTACAAAATTATAATAAATTTCTTATTGCAAAGAATATGATATTTTTTGTTGTTGCTAACATCATATTTAAATGAATCCAGCTACTAGTACTTGTACTACATAGATTTATTGGTAAGAAGTAATGATGAATAGCTATTGTCTGACTACTAAACGTAGATATATACATATTTCTTGTTCTATTTGACCGATAAATGTATTATTTAGTGATTAATATCAGTTAGTTGAAGATGGTTTTGAAGATTGGATTAGATTTTTTTAAAAATACGTTTTATTACAGGGTCTTGTTATTGTCGTCTTTGAGCTGAATTTTTATGGACTTAACGCGTTTACATATTCGGACTTGGATCAAGTCATGTTTGGTAGATAAGGCATGAGTTGACATGGAGCGCTATTGATTGAAAGCTGAGTAATTTTACTAATACGCTACCACCCTTTAATAAAATAAAATTCACCATGTGTATTCGGTTTGTAGTCACATTTCTTGTGTACCGCAGTTTTTGACCCGGTCAGCTTCTCCGGTAATCGGGGGTTCAAGTCCTACCACCGGACGCCATGGCGTTTAACTTTCAACCATTAAGTCGCATGGTCCAACTACATTCTACCTACATTGGTTTGCATCCTAACGCTTAGAGTGTCCTGAAGCTAAGTGAATGAATGTGTACCTGGTTGTTATAATTCTATTTTCTTACGGTTAATGACCCAGCTATTCCTATTGCTTAGTATTCTCGGACACCGATTCACTCGACAAGTCCCCAAATCAGAACACGGTTGAACAGGGAAAAGATTATATTCCAAATAGCAAGTCAGAAGCCAGTAGGAAGCACAATAGGGGAAAACGTCGGTATATTTATAGTTTTTACATAAGAAGAATCCAGAATATTCTCCAACTATCGACTAGCGCTGATTGGATAAGAATTAGCCAATCAGCGTGCACCAAAGCAATCATGCATTGAGCATGCTTTAGTCTAGTCTATGTCCCGCTAACACCTCCCCTCTGAGCAGATTCGTAGGATCTGGTGCTAGGGTCCAACTGCAACTGAGTGACTGGCTTGTGCTTTCGATTAGTCCATCGTCTAGGCAATGAAGAATTATCACTTATTCCTTGCACAGAGACTGACATGTCTGTTCCCGGCGTTTTGATTTTTCTTAAAAAAAGTATGCATAACTTTTAATTCTCCAACATTCTCCTCCTCCTCGAAATAATGTTGGGTCCTTATGGCTCCAAATTATAACTAGTAGGACTTTATTTAAACCATGTTTCTCGTATTGACTGGAGAATCCACTAAAAATGACTAGATGATGATGAACAACCTTTGATCTGAGTTCATTATTTTCAAATTCATTATGAATCTCGTTAGCTGATAACGAGTCATTAAGAAAGTCAACGTCTAACAGAATTAGATTAGATTTTTGGCCATCATTCGACTCAGCTGACATATTTCCCTCATTGTTATAAGAAGGTTCATCAAAATCATATGCATTATTCTGAGAATCAATATCTGGTACACTGTCATTAGAAATGGGATAAGTTGACTCAATATAAAATTCTGTCTTCCGGTGATTTTGAGTAACATCTGGTACTATTTGGTTCATCGTGTTGCTCCAGTTATTTTTTGAATACGAGTCACCATAGCTTTCTCGACTAATAGCACGTGGACCACAATTTTGTTCGAGCTGACGTTTATTTTCGCAGCTAGACAGTACCAGTAGTGTTTCATTTGATTCTGGACTCCGGGCTTCATCTACAGGACCTGACTCCTGATCATCTGGTATTGTCACAACTTCATGTGCATTCAGCACAGTATTTTCTTGCTGTGAGCCGGACACGTTACAAATATTACGTTCTGATTCAGGTATAAAGGGATTTGAACCCTCCACTAGATATGCTTCTGAAATGTCTGTTACTGCATCATAAACAGATTTCTTATTTTCTGGTCGAGTGAAAAGTGTGTTCAATAGTTGTTGTTGCAAGGCTAACAACTTCTGCTGGTGCTGTAATATTAACCGCAACTGTTCTAAAGAAATCGCCATTTTTCTTTAGTTTTTCCCCGTCGCCACTGTTATAATTCTCTGGTTTCTTACGGTTAATGACCCAGCTATTCCTATTGCTTAGTATTCTCGGACACCGATTCACTCGACAAGTCCCCAAATCAGAACACGGTTGAACAGGGAAAAGATTATATTCCAAATAGCAAGTCAGAAGCCAGTAGGAAGCACAATAGGGGAAAACGTCGGTATATTTATAGTTTTTACATAAGAAGAATCCAGAATATTCTCCAACTATCGACTAGCGCTGATTGGATAAGAATTAGCCAATCAGCGTGCACCAAAGCAATCATGCATTGAGCATGCTTTAGTCTAGTCTATGTCCCGCTAACACTGGTGAACGAGTGAAGTATCACAAGTTCATTGGGACTTGTAATTAGAACACTATATATATAAGTTTGGGTGTTTTTTTTAGCTTCATTCTTATAAAATCCTAGACGTCAGTTGATTGCATTCTAAATAGTTTAAGTATTAAGAGTTGCTAATGGAGATGCTATTAATTTTTGTTTTTCTCTCCTCCTCTTTATTACCAGTCATCTTTTCCAAAAACATTTCATCCACATCATACAACTGTTCAGAATGTTTTACTAAATATGGATGATAGTTCAGCGTTTCAATCATGGTTCAATTTGGGTAGTTCACTGGGGAATACACGTCGTAAACAAGAAAGTTTATCTTCTAATTCTTCTTCATCATCATTATCATCTGAACCTAGTCCTGAAAATATATCACAACATTATGATTCCTTTCCGTTAATAACAACATCACTTGTTGGTGTAACAAGTGGTCGCTTCACAGTTTCATCATCATCACCACCATTAACACCAACAACAATACCAACAGCGTTGAAAAGAGAATCACTCGTTGGATCATCTGGTGATAATAGCCCAAATCGTTCAAGTTCCTCTTCAGATTTCTCGCCTCAATCATCAATCTGTTCACTTTCATCTTCACCATTAGGAGCTGCTACTCAATTCTTGAAATCGGTTGTTAAGTAAGTTCTTTAAAGTTTTAAATCGACTATCTTATCTGTTGATAGAAGCTTTTTCTTTGTAAATAAATTATTACAAATAACCTCATTTATTGAACACGTTAGTGGTTATTTGGACGACACGTTTTGGCGTGTAAGGTGACAGGTACATACTGGGTTCAATTGTCAGCATAAATATTAACGCTGGGGTACAGATACGTCGAGCTAGCTGACTAGTCCTCAATAAGACGGAACGCATATCCCGAATTCTATTTCTAACAATTATTCAGCCACTCTAGGAAATTATAAATAATGTCATTTGATTGCATCATCCCATCCATTGTGCAACTGATATTACTGTTTATAAAGTCTTGTCATATTATTATTATTATTATTATTAGTAATTTACACTGGTTAAATCTTCATGATTATCATTTTGATGCCTCATTAGTTCGCCTGTAATTTTTTCATTTCGGTCTATGTGGTCATCTCTAAAAAAAGGTGTTGTCAGGCGGCTTGTTAGTTTGTAATAGTCAGGCTGTGATTCTCATGATAATTCTATGTCTGTCAACCACCAGATTTTGATTTCATTTGTATATGGTACATTTGCGGGCTCTCTTTTAGTATATGATACAGTCAGTGAGTTAGTCCCATCAACAGCGTAGGATCTGGTACATATATGTTTCAACTCAGGTTATCACATTGCTTAAAAAAGCGCAACCAATTTTTTTATTAACCCACAGTCTAAGGAAACACTGAAAGTGATTGCATCTGGGTTACATCACCCAAAGTCTCCAACCACTGATTACGATGATTTTACTCTAGTCATATTTGTACCCACCTATACGGCTCTCTTAATTGAACAATCAATGGATTCTCAGGCTTACAGTATGTCCTGCTTTGGCCACTCCTAGCTTTTATCTAAAAAACTAATACATTAGTAAATATCGTCTATCAAGGTAGGTGGTTGTTAGGCTTACGTAATCTATATTATAACTACCTCAATCGTTAAAGACTCACCATCTTATCAACTGGTTTGCCATATTTACTTAGTGCATCTCATTTAACTTCAACATTCTCACTTATTCTCATACTTTGTCAACAACACAGATATATTTTCATCAATGGACATTATTAATAGATGTACCAGTTAAAATAATTGCATTAAGAGAAAATCAGTGATCAAACAACAAAGATGATCAGAAAAACTGATGTTCATCCATAATTTCCTTTTAATTGGTGTGTGTGTTTATCTTCAATCCAGTCAACCAATTACGATTAATTCATGTTCGTGTATCCGCTTATTTATCCTTGTCAGTTTATAAATTCGCTATTTGGGATATTTGGGATATATTTGGATCAACAAATTTATATTTTGTTTCTCTATTATTTTAAGGAATAAAACTAGGGCTTGTTTATCTGAATCATCTAATTTAAACCGGATTATTCGTTTTATAGCTTAGTTTGTAAACGAATATCAGCTAGATAACCACTGTAAATCAGAAAACATTGAAAAAAATGTTTAATTCTAGTGTGCGAATCATCGGTAGTGGGTTCCATGACCATGTTGTGGGCTACTGGAACCAGTATCTATAAACCAATGAATCGGCGTTTAGTATTGTGTGTGTAACTCTAATCAATTTAAAATTTTATGCGACCGTTTTCTATTGCTTGTGGTGGTTAACTATCTTACACTCGACATGGTTTAACTCCAGTAATGACGGCCTGTTCTTATACACTTACTTACTTATACTCATTACTCTCATGGAGGACCATAGACCGCCCACCATCATTCTCCATTGAACTCTGTCTTGGGTCATCTTTTCCAGTTGCTATTAATCCTTTTGATGCTTCTGATTCCCGACGTAGTGTGTTCTTTGACATTCCTCTTTTCTGTCTCCCTTCAGGATTCCAAGTTAGCGCTTGCTTTGCGATGTAGCTTGATGATTTCCACAATGTATGTCCTATCCACTTCCAATGTCTTTTCCTAATTTCCTCTTCAGCTGGAACACTCTTATAGACATTATATGTAAATGTTTATAGTTAAACTAGGGTTAATCAATTAATTTATTATAAACTCGTTTGTCAGAAACTGGGTACGTGTAATGGAGAAGATTAGCTGTTCAAATGAATACTTTTAGTGATGTTATGTGTTTTTACTTAAAGGATAGTTTGATTGTTGAAACCTTTATCGTCGTTATAGGCCCTATTATCGGCTACTTCTTATTGGAATGTTCCGTTTTTAGTGATTCCTTTACCTCTTCCTGATTTCATTAATACAAAAACTGTTGAATAACTGAACAGCTCACCTCTACGTAAACCAAGCTCTAATGATGTTCAGAATAACAATGAAAGCTCCTCAGTTAAAGTATCTAGCTCAGAAAACAACACCACCAATCGATGTGTACGGTTTTCTTTGAGCTACAGTGATACTACCTAATTCTCAAACAGAAGTAGGGTGGAGCGTTGTCCGGACCTGCTATATAATAATCAGAAGTTGAACGTTGTAATCACTAAGCAACTGTTCGGCCACCTAATTAATATAATTCCGTCATGCTGATTGTTGTTGTAGCCACATGAGATACTTACTGAATCCTGTCATTATAGAAGTATGACTACTATTATTTGTTTCTATGTTACACACCGTAACTTTATAGGTTGCTAAAATCGAACTATCAAATGTGAAAGTAATTCTTACTGAATTTGCGTTGAAATGGAGTTAGTTTATTCGTCTCTCGCTTCTAATTATTATATTAGTAAAAGTACTATCTAACAGCGTATATGATGATCTTCTCCAAGTCTATATATTAGAAATGTTTTTCGTAGGTGCAAATCTCCAAATTGATCGGTTTATGTGGTCGACTTTTAGCCATATTGTTTGTGTAAATAAGAGTTAGGGATACTTCATGTCTGTCTAAATCGAAGTAATTGAATCAGATTTTAAGCCTGTGGTCTATTGTTTTTAGGAGGTCAACTGTTATTAATTCTGTTCCTCTTAAATGGTTATCTCTTTATGACTAAAGGTTTGTAGAGATTGTGGATTGACTTTGACTAGATAACCATTATAAACCGAAAAGCATTCGACAAATGTTTCATCGTAGTATGGAAATACTCAGCAGTGCACCTCTACAATCCTATCGAGACTCAATCTGAGGACCTTCCAAGAGTCTTAAAGAGGCCTTAAACGTTAGATTATGGAGTCAGTATGTCGTGATTTTACCCAACCATCTTCCAATCCGATTGGTAGTCAACTGCCTCGGGGTTTCTTACTAGAAATACGCTGGAAACCGCTTCTTGAAACTATTGACTAATGGGCCCCATGATTATGATTATTAGTTGAATTCCATATAATTCAAATATAATTATTTTGCTTTGCTTTTGATATGAAGGTTACAAAGATTAGATTTAACAGTCTCATTTTATTTATTTTATTTCAACACATAAATATTGGTACAAGAGGGCACCAGATATATATGCGCCACACCATATTTGTGTGTGTGTGTGGGCTGTGATACTGCCCGGGTTCTCAGACCGAAGCAGGTGGTTTTCTTAGGGAGCCACACCCGGAGCCTTTGACCTAAAGGTCTGACCCACAAGGCAGTGGAGCATCGTGAGGAGATGCAGTCCCGTGGTAGCCAGTGACCAACGATTGGTTCATACGCCATTTGTTCCCGCAGGATACTGGAGCCCATGTGCACCATTGGTTTGGAATCCAGTTAAAGCGCCGAACATTCGCTTTTCGTCCTCTCATTTTTGAAAACAACACCCCTGGTGTGAGAAGGCAGTGAGTAGGACTTCCCTGGCAGAGGCTGTTTACGCGTGGCCGTGTGAGAGCATTTCGAGAGAGAGGATATTAATTGTTTGTTGAATAAGCGACACATAAGCTAATTTTCACTAATTGCCTTCAACATTTTATGATGTTTTTTTTGTGTTCTTGTTAGATATTCTGCTGCCGCGTTGAACAATTTCGATTTATTGTCATTAGATCAAACAGATGATATACCTGTGGATAATTGGTCTAAACCTTTTACTTCTACTACTGCTACTACCACTAATAATAATAATAATAATAATAATAATAATAATAATAATAATAATAATAATAATAATAATAATAGACAAAATATCCAATGTAATAATTCATCAAGTAAACAAAATTGCTCATTATCACTGTCATCATCAGTATCATTAACACCAAGCTATTTTCCTAAATCTGTTAATATTAATAATAGTTGTAATATTAATCATACTATTGGTATAAATACTGCTGTCAACTCCATAGATAACAATAATAAACGAACTGTCTGGGATAATGAACGTTTACGTGAAATCATCACTGCTAAACCATTACCATCTACTATAACTGAAACATTTGCATATAATTTACGCTAAATTCAATTTGTTCTTTATGAGAGAGAGAGAGAGAACACAACAACAACAGAATTATTATTTATTTGTTTATTTATTTCCTCTTTTCTGTTTATTATTTAAACAAAAATACACATTTACATACATATATACATCTATGCCTATTTATAATAAATTCAATGAACATTGATTTACTTACTTACGCTTGTTTACCCCCATATGGAGGAGGAGGAGGAGGAGCATAGGCCGCTCATCCAACTCGAAACATTGATAGGATTGCATGAATTTGTTTGTTTACTATTCAGTTTATATTTTAATATACATTTAAACATTCATAGATACGTAATGTATTTAAGTGTTATATGTTATCCATGTTGTTGGGTTTATTTCTTGTAATATGCAATTATTCATTATATGGTTTATAAATTCAGCTGTTTGTTACGTAATATTCATCATGATGATGATGATATGTTTATAGGACATTCATAAATGTTTATTCCTGTGTACATTTACTATAAAATGTATCATACAAAATTTCTTCTATGTTGTTACCATGGAAAGAATCAATATATAAAAGGAGATTGTTGCCAAGCGCTGGTGTTACATAATACGAATTAAAAATTATTATTATTATTATTATCAATCCAATATCTTTCCTAAACTTTATTTCATATCTATTTAAAATAACTTTTAATTAAATTCATTTGTTATTGTAAAATTATTAATAATTAACATGAATGAGATTTAATGAATCATTCAAACTTTTTTGTTTTGTTTTGGTGTTTATTCTTTAAAATATTTTATGTCATAAACTTGATGTTTATTGTCCAAGACTTTGTTTATTTGTTTATTTGTTTTCCAAGGAAAAAGAAGAACATTTCCATTGTAAATTATTCCTTCATGTTGATTTAAATCAAGTTTGAAATGGTTGTTTTCTATTTGTGATAAATTATTATTCATTTTATATATTGTTACATCTTTGTTATGTTTACTCGATAATATACAAGAGAGAACTTGTCCTGAATGCCTTGACACTATAGGTTAACTAGTTCAACTTTGAGACTAGAAATACACGTCTAAGTTGAGACTAATGGCTTTAAGCAGAGAGATGGAAACTATTCTGTCATCTAATTGGTTAAGAAAAGAACACTACTCGATTTATTCCTGATTAAACCCGATTTAGATTAGTGTATAAAAATATATGAATAAAGAGATGACTAGCACAACTATCACATACAAACAATTAGAAAAATACATTTATGTCCAGGGTAAAAAATTTCTGCAGTACAAAAGATTACGTTAAAATTACAATAGCTTTAGACTAGAAAAGGGTATGTCAGTGAATCATGCATCAACTGGAAATTGTGGTTTAGAGAATCACTATGGGCAAAACTAAATGTCAGTATTGCATTAAATTGTTAGTCATGACTTCTTTATTTCTCTATTCATATCAAATATATTTCCGTTATGAATCGTAACCATGACATTTTTTTAGTACAAGGTACATAGAATATATTCGAATAAGTGGGGGAAATCTACAAAATTGTGTTCCTTCGTTTGTTTGTTAGATTCATTTAATAAGTGAATTTCGTTATATATTACCACCAAATATGTATTAGGGAATGATGGCAAGTCAGTTGATGAGGTTGTGAATCTTCATCGACTGAGATGGTTGGGCAACGTGTTACATATACCTGAACACCGATTACCACGACGCACAATGCTGACTAGTGTTGGAGATGGAAGAAAGTTAGCGGCGGCCAAACTAAAATGTGGCATCAGTCCTTGAAGTGACTAACTTCTAGCCTGAGCGATGTTGGTAGATGCATACTACTTGGTTGGGGTCCGCGCCACTATCATAACCAATGGTTGGAGACTGTGGATGATATGGCTGAGAATCGATCACAACGGTGTAGGTGTACGCACTCTCTTTCTTCCCTTAAACTGTGAGATTAAAATTGCTTCATACCTTTATTTCTACAAATCAATTCTTTCTTCCTGTATTATATGCTTATACACAATCTTTCTTTTATATATTACTATCAATGAAGTAACTACTTCTATGAATTTGGTGTTCATTTTGTTGTGTTGATGAGGTGTGGCAACTTGAAATGATGCATATATGTGTCTGGTCCTACACTGTAGCTGAATGAATGACAAATATGTATGAAATAATAATTTCTGAAACTCAGTTGTATCTAGAAGGTTAACAAAAGCCTAGAAAAATATTAGGAACGTCTTTGTCTACTTATTGTTGATAGATTTGTAGAAAACTATTATCTTGGATGTTGAGGCCCACTTTGTCTAATGGGTTAAGTTAGTTGTGCAATAGGCAGACATGATTAGCTCGTTTATCATGTTATTTTTAATTGGTCCTTCGTTTGAGATTGTAGCAAGCGAAGGCACCGAATGAATATGATCAAATTTTTGTTTAACTCGAAGATGAGTGATTTAGTGTTCCCACAACATATGATCGATTATTTGGCCGTATGGGTTATTGGATATCGTCAATATCTTTGTAAATGTACAGTCTTAAAGATTATTAAACACCTGACACTTGACTGGAATCAGTGTGTTTCACGGGTTCTAGAAATTTTAGTGATAACAGCCGTGCATTTTTTTGAAAAGCTGATTTGTGAACTATGAGCTATTATTTATTCGCTTTGTACAACCGTTTAGTCTTTTGATTACATTGAAGACTTGATAATTGGTAGGGCATATTGCATTACCCAAGAGTGCGTTGGTAATATAATTTTGATCAGTTTAATAAGTAAGTAATTGTATGTACTGTGACTGATTTGACAACGAGAAATAGTGTTTAACTCTGCTTGTTCAATAGCTCTCATAGAGTATTCAAAAACTAGGAATATTAGAACAAACAATTTTATTGTCAAGCTCTACGATTATTATTAAACTTCAATACTATTGTCTGTACATAGATAACTATGCTAAATGTGTGGGAGAGTAATGCCAATAAATACGAGCTATTGAACAGTTTCAATAACATGCGTCCTGCTATTAGATTCACCTTTGAAGAGGAATAAAAGACAACAGTTTTCATGGTTGTTCTCTATTTATGAAGGATGGATAGATCTGTAGAAAAGAACTACTTAAAAGGAATAGGTAGATTAGTTAATAGATCCACTTTTATAGCTTTTCATCTCTTCAGTACAAATTAAACTTAGTTAAATATGTTCTGAGGATAGTGTCGATGAAGAAAGGGATAAATTAAAAAGTAAATAACGGTTGTCCAGATAATAATTCATTAAAATGTATGTGTCCAAATCGAAAAATGGGGTAAACGTTAACACTGTAAGAAAACCATATTCTAAAACTTGATTTCAAAAGGGGTACTTACAAGATCGATTGGAAGAACGTTTAAATCGGGTAATTTGAGTGTTACCTAGATGTGTGTATACCGGTCTAACTACTATGGAGCTAGTAACATAATTCTTAAAAGGTCTCATCATTATGTGCTCGTGAAAATGTACTGGGATAGTTAAAAAAAGGAATGACGAAATTTATTAATAGGACTACTTTTTCTCACATGGTAGGTGGTGGACATCATATCAAAATAGAAGCCACAGATTTATATCAAGCTCCAAATAATTTTTCATAAGGGAGTAAAAGTACACCTCCTTTACATGGCTGAAGTCATAGAGATTAACTCCAGATAATCTAACTTATGTATTTTAGAGAGATATATTCAACCTTTGTTTACCATGGCCGACGATTCGTTTATTTCTTCTACATGCCACGGCTATATACTTTTACCCCGTAGTTCCATTTATGTTTATTGATACTCTATCCCATTCTTAATTTGCACATTCATGTTTCTCAATTTATTTGAGTCTTTTGTCATCATTATCATACTTACCCTGACAACATTCTTCGTATAATATTCTTAATATTACTATTATTAATTAACCCAATATAGCATTTCTACTATTACTCTTTTTATTCACATACTTTGTTTTATCATATTGATTGTACTTCTTTTTTAAGTGATCTTTCAACTTTGCAGATAATATTCGTCACAAATTGATCTCACTCGGAGGTATCATTAAGGACTAGGAAGCAATGGAAAGTTGTTAAATATTAGTCTGGAACTCCGAGGCAATGAGCGCTGACAATCCCAGTAAGGTTAAACGTTCACCAAGAGATCCAAATCCCCTGAGTCCGATACCTGAGTAGTTTGTGAGTGTGCACTGATTAGGAGTTTTGTATTGGGATGAAACCGATATCTAGTGTTCCTTGGTTTACAATGGTGCCTTAACTGATATCAATCTGTGATGAAAACAGACTACAAGTTAAATCAATGTGTACAACCCCCTTCAACTAGATCTTTCAAGTTTATGTGTAGTATATATTTGATATGTCTAAGCCATAACCGATGTAAAAGCTTATTATTTTAATGTATAATATTATCTATCTCACGTATGATTATTTTATTCTTGCCATTATGAAACTAAAATTATAGATATAGGGGTTGTGGAGATTATTAAGTTTTTGATTGAGATTGATGTTAGACTACCTCAGTTCAACGGAAGTTGGTCACGCAATTTTGTGGATTGGTTGATGTTAGAAACTATCACCATTAGATGCCGGCTCAGTGGTCCAGTTGGTTAAGTGTTCGCGCACGAGACCGGAGGCCTTGGGTTCGAGTTCCGCGAGCGGGGTCGTGGATGCGCACTGTTGAGGAGTCCCATAATAGTTCGGGACGGCCGTCCAGTGCTTCCAGGTTTCCAGTTGTGGTGGTCTGACATCAATCGGTTCATGGTCTCAATCAAAAACATAAAATTATAGATTTATAGCTGGCCTAATTATTTGAATCCCATGTAAATTCTCAATTTTTTTAAATGGAAGATGAAACGAAGTTGAGTTTTGTCTTTTGTAGTCAGGAGTAATAGGATTTTATTCATTTTGATAAATTTATGTAAGTAGATGAACCCAGCCATTAACTTTGTAATGGTGAATATCAAGAAAGATGTACAGTACGCTATTTCATTCTCGATAAATAGGTGCTTGATATGTTTTGTGTAAGGCATGTAGCTCTCTCTATCCCAGTCTTAAGATTTTAATGCTTTTATTCCTATAACTCACTCTCTTTAAGTGCAATCCCGTCAAACTTTGTAATGCATCATTAATATTGTAGTGAGCAGAACACCCTTGGGGACAATCGAATTTAATTAACACACAACTACAGGACTTGTTAATAAAATCTAACAATCATAAAGTAAATACTTAATTTGCAAAATGTCCATCGATTGTCTCAAAATGACTCAAACTTGATTGTTCTTGCATTTTCATACAAACTGCATTCTGTTTTCATTCTTTACTGTTCGATCCTCTCGTCTGTGCTGCCAGACCTTCTGTTCATGAGTAACGTCACATACTACTTATGTCAATATAAGTAGCACACACCACATTATTATTATCTAATGTTGCAAATTATTAGTTCTAGTGTTAATTAAATCCATAAAATCTAGTTAATTGTACATATGACCTCCCCAAAACGTTGATAGGTATGGTTTTCCATTGATTGTTTTCAGTTAAAGGGAGATGATATGTAGTTAGAGTTCGAGTGTAGGACTGATTATATCATATTCATAGTTAATTCTAAACATTCATGATTTTTGAAGTTAAATATAATAAGTAATAGACACTGAATTAAGTAAGTTATCTTGTAAAAGTTTCTTGAAGCATAATCAATTAATGAAATGAAGCCGTATATAACTCTGGATAATCGAATTGACTAACGTCTGTGATGATGATAATGATGAACTGTTGCAATTCTGAAACAATGAAAAATTTCATTCATTTCGCTGCTTTATTTGAATTTTCTACTCATGAACTACCAGAGAATTTAGCTGAAATGATTAACATTGAAATAATCAGTTGAAATAGTGAGAATATTTATTCAATTAGAAATTTTCTATAATTTTACATGATATGGAATCAATAGAGTAATTACAGATTATAGATCAAGATCAGGAAATTGTTTAATAACATGAGGTGAAGGTTATGTAAACTGAATATGAAAAGGTTACCTTGGAAATCTTTATAAATTAGTGTATATACATATATATTATCTTAAGTAAAGAAGGCAACTTTTATGACTAGTGATCGATAGGGAGTTTATTTTTACAATTATAATATGTTTTAGGACAACCTCTGTGAAAATATAAACTTTGCCGCATGTACCATGAATTTGGTAACCGGTTACTATCACCAATCCTCAGAAAAAAAGTGTGAATAAAAGTTGAATACATAAACATATTTCTTGTATTCAATAATAGAGTTAGTTGATTAAGTATTATCCGATGTATGTCAGGTTAATGAACGAAAATTTGTCCTGTATACATAGAGGCAGTTTCATGATAGATGGTTCTTAATTGAACAAATATTACGACTTAGTTATATGTTTCATACGACTTTAATAGACTTCAACAATACAGTTTCATAATCTAGAACAAGATTAAACTATGAACCTTTTGTTCATTTATCTAACTACTAAATATTAAAAGTAATGAGTTGATGTTGGTGTAAAACATATTCAGTCGCATTTAGGCCATTATACAGTGTTATTAAAAATATCTTCTACTAATGAGTTAGTTATGCTTATTGGATAGTACTTGTTATGAGACAATACTATCAACCAGAATCGAATCGTTGACATAATAATAAATGAAAGAGGTAAACAGTGTGTGAACACAATTCAAATACACTTCACCCAAACTTGTACTTAGTCTCAAATAACTCTCGACTCAGTTCTTTACTGTCGGAGAGACCAGAGAAATAAAAAGATGTATTTTTCTCATCAATCAACAATGATACGAAGAAAAATATGCAAGTATTTATAGAAATTTTAGGATATACTTTTGAGAACCACCTTCTCAGGAAGCAAGTTTTAAGAAATCTAATTCAGTACTACCAGGGTGTTTTCGGAATTCAAACTCATGATCATTAAAAAAAGATCCACTTTTTGACGAATTTAGATTGAATTTTAGGCAACTAATACTTTGACTATACAGTTTACATAAAACCTCATCATTGATTTCGTATCAAGAGTTAATCTATTTCAGCCATAATATATACATCGACATCATCATAGACGAAGTTATATAACATTAGATATCACACATATTAGCATATAGTAAGTGTAGAAGTTGAGAATGAAATGTAACCAAACAAATGTCATACAGTAGTTTGTATTATAACAAATTATTAGGGTTGGACTATTTATTGATTGTTTTAGGTAAAATTCCGGTTGACATTAGTGAATAAGCTGATTTTGTCATTTGGTTAAGTGGATTATACAAAGATTTTATTGCATGACTAGAACGTAAACTGTAACATCTAGTTTTGTTAATTATTTTGTTTATTTAAGGTGTATCTGTGACGATATGAAAGCTGAATTTATTGTATAAAGTTCTATGTTAAAATTAATAATGATTTTACAAGTGATGATTTGTTGTAAGAGTATATGACATGAACAATCAAATCATCAATCTAGGCAATATATACTAATTATAAGCAAAGATGGATAGTGGTTAGCAATGGAATCCAGGATACGCGTTTCATCCTATTTGGAACTCGTCAGCTGAATGTACCTGCATCTCAGAGTTGATGTTCACACTGGGACTCGACCCCTGTAACGTTCACTTCAAACGCCATCATGTTATCTACTTAGCTACTGAGTCCTGATAGATACTTGCTTGTGAAATGGGGTGAAATTTAAATTCACTTGGTATGGTTTACTTGAATTTTCCCATTGATGTTTAGGAGTATAATTGATCAGTTTCATATTAGCACATGTGCATCCTATGCATGTTGCCTCGATATATATACTAATGTCAATCAAATATTCACTTACCTCTTTGTGAATACATAATGTAACAATATGTGACATGGTTACATGGAAGATTTGACATGAATACCATAGTTTTACTATTCACTTCACCGTCTTACCTAGGTAAAACAAATCGATTGTTATAAATAAAGTGTACGTGTATTTCTGAAATTCTCTAATAAAACTTCTTTCTGATATAAATATTATTGTACTGGACGAGAACACAAGTGGGGACAATCGAATGTGTTTGAACACGAAATTACAGAAAATCTTAGTAAAATCTGAGAACTATGCAGTAAATACTCAATTTGAAATATATCAATCCATTGTCTCAAATCCGACTGTTCCTTTTGCAAATATCAGTGAGTCGTCTCACACTCCATTGTTCCTCCATTTTCATACCAATTACTTTCTGTTCTCGTTCTCTTTCCTCTTCGATCTTCTTGATCTTCTGCTATCAGACATTCTATTCGTGACTAGCGTAATATACTACTTATGTCAATATAAGTAGCACATAGCAATTTCTAACTTATTCTATAACACTTATAAAGTCAATATGCATGAAGATTAAAGAATCCACATTGAACAATATGAGAACCAAATGAATAAACATTAAATGGAATCATATTTTATAAATTAAAAAACAAACAAACAGTCCATTAACTTATTTTGTTCAACAATAATTTATCATTTTTAGAATGAAAAATGAAATCCCATAGAGCAAAGTAATTGCGCTTTCGTTGGAAACGACAAAAAAGAGGGGAAGGAAATAATAGAATTCCAATCCAAAAATGTCATATACACTTACAATGGTAAATAAGGTTACCCTTGTTTTTTATAATTTCGAATATAAATTGTGAATGTTGTAAAATGTCACCTCAAAAAAGAAAAAGGAAAAGAAAAACGATTACACGTAGAATATGATAAACATTAAGCAATAAACTACGAATTGAAACCATGGATCCAATTTTAAACGAATTTTACATTGGTACCTAGTTTGAATTGTGTTTTATGATTGTTCAAGTGTAATCGGTATACAATTGACCGATTACATTTATGATATGAGTTTTAAAAAAAAAATAATATATAGATTTATACAAGTTGAAGATTGTCATTGTAAATGCTTAGAATAAAGGTATTTGAATGGAGATAAGATAATTATAAGTTTTAAGCTTTCTACAATAAACATTAACTGAACTAGTTCCAGAAAATCTAAGTGTAATAATGTTTGATGATATTTTGGATATTATATTTGTGATTATTATATTATATATAATATATTATATTATATTTGTGGAGTTCTAGTGAGAAGCGATGACCAGTGGAGCTAATCTATGTTAGGTAGAAACAGGTATCTATCTACTACAGTACAATAGAAGATGGTCGTGCAAGTTCGTGGTTTGGTTGAAGTTAGACAATAATACCACTGGATACCACTTTCATGGTTTAGAGGTTAAGCGTTCGCGCGTGAGACTGAGACCCTGGGTTCGAATCTAGCGAGGTGGGATCGTGGATGCGCACTGTTGAGGAGTCCTACAATAGGACGAAACGGTCGTTTAGTGCTTCCAAGTTTTCAATAGTGGTCTAACATCAATCGCTTCATGATTTCAATCGAAAATTATATACAAGAATTTTCATCTAAATTTAAATTAATCGTTTCATAGTAGTTGAGCGTTGAGTGAGTGTAAGACAATTGGCAGGAAAATATATATTTGGAAAATCTCAACGGTTGACTTTTAAGTAAATTCAACATCTCTCCCGGTAATCTGGTTTAACCTTTTTCTATGAAATATAATCAAACATCAAAATTATAGGAAATAAATAGGCACATGATTCTCCAGTGCACTGTATACTAAACGGTTATCTAATCATGTTAACAATGTTGAAAGTAAGTATTTGAGACATTTGGTGTATAATAATAAAGTGTGTGAAGATTATAGATTGTGTGCATTTGTAAGTGGATCTGAGGTATGAGAAGAAGTTTCATTGGTTATTTATCACCTCGGATTGGAGAAGTTTTGAAGATAAAAGAGAATTCTTATAGATGATATGTGTCAAAGATGTCACAGGATGCATCAAATAAAGATAAATAAACAAAATAAAAATGAATGAATGAATGAATGTTTGTATTATTGTACTGTTCAAGTTAATCGTTTATATTTAGTGGCCAAGAATTTGATAAAGGAGTTCAAGAACCCATCTATGAGACAATTGATCTAGATGAATTTAGTTATGTTCACTTTGATGATGAATAATTATTCTAGAAAGTTTATAAAAAGAATAATTAAAAAAACAGATCAAAACGATAAGGGAAAATACCGTAAGAATCGGTTAACATGCTAGTGATTTCACATTGTAAAGAAACTTCAGAAGAGATCAGAAGGATCCTAAATGTTCAAAATTTAAGGATGTTCTTACGAACAAACAATATCTTAAGATCTTAGCTAGTAAGAATCAAAGATCTAATACAAACGAAGGAACGACAGAATGGTGTATATTAGGTCAAATGTAGTCATTGTAGTGCTATATATGTAGATGGGACATCACGACAACTGAATGTGAGGGCGAAGGAACACAAACTATGTTTAAAGCGCATTCTCAAATCCTCAGATCATCTAGAAAACTATTCAGCGATAGTATTATGCAAATAATTTCAATGGCGTAAAAGTCCTACAAAATGGTTTTAGTTCTTACAAGGAGAGACTAACAGCTGAAGCCTTAAACATATTGGTGAACCTGAACTCCTTATCTCATTAAATCAGTTGGTTTATCTGAATATATGATGAACGATTAACTTGAACAGTACAATAATACAAACATTCATTCATTCATTCATTCATTCATTCATTCATTTTTATTTTGTTTATTTACCTTCATTTGATGCATCCTGTGACGTGTTTGACTCATATCATTTATAAGAATTCTCTTTTATCTTCAAAACTTCTCCAACCAGAGGTGATAAACAACCAATGAAATTTCTTCTCATACTTCAGATTCAATTACAAATACACAAAATCTATAATCTTCACACGCATATATCAGATGTGTATGAGACATATGATGTGTCAGAACGTTAAACTTTAATTTTCACGTCTTCTGAGAATTACGATTAGACGTATTCATCCAGTTTGTTAATGATCGAGGATATTCTTCCTATACAAAGCTTTTAACCTGTGTTCATCAGACACAACCCAGTGTAACTATGTTTAATGCTGTAAATTTTGAAAAGAGGAATCTTTTAAATATGTTGAACAAAGCATATAGACACTAACTTACTTAATTACTTACTTACTTAGGCCGCCGACCAGCATTCTCCAACCCACTATGTCCTTGTTATCCTGGCAGCGACACCAACTCCACCCGGAAACCCTCCGGAGGCTACTGCCGGTCCCAAGCTCGAATAAAGGAGAAGGGTTGAGCATGGGGTTAGCGACCTCATCCCGTAGAAAACTAACTCGCTAAGAAGCGCTAACCAGAAAAAATCATTCAAACCATATAGACACTAGTCACTCCTTTATTCCTATGTACTTGCTTTAGTATATACCTATAAATAAGTTCATTTCGTCAAAATTGATAAACAACGGATACACTCATAGTTTTGTTCTATTTTCTACTTCACTTGAATAAATTCAGATTATATATTATACTACTTACTTATTATATAGTACGATCATATTTTATCATCGCAGTTTTCAGCTCCAACATTTTATCGATACGGAAATTACTGTTTGATCGTTCTATACTGCTCTTCAGTCACTGATAGAAACTGTTAAGGACGATAGATCCCCAAAACTCATATTTTGTAATTTTATCTTATCGATTAACTTATCGATTAAATCAGAATGGGTTTTGTGGAGATTTTAGAAATTTCACAGATTGAAATCATGAGTCAGTTGAAGCTAGTGGTTAAGTGCTCGCGCGCGAAGCCAGTAGGTCCTGGGTTCGAGCCCCGCGTGGTGCGGGATCGTGGATGCGCACTGCTGAGGAGTCCCGTACTAGGACGAAACGGCCGTCCAGTGCTTCCAGGTTTTCAATGGTGGTCTAGCTTCAACTGACTCATGATTTATCGATTAAATGTTTAAATATTTGAATGGCTGTCGATTGATGAACTTATTGATTAATGTTTAAAAACATTTTACCATGACAATATCGATTATAAATATTTGTACAAATACGCTTGACTTGTGTGCCTGATTGACCTGACCTGGTATTTGCTGGTTGCCTGTGGAATACACTTCTACGTCTTACCAAGACTTCTTGATCGAGTTAGCTGAGTTGGGGACAACGGACCAGAATAGCCTACTGAGTCTCTGAATACTGATCCTTCTTTCCGTTCCGAATAAGCCGAATCAGTAGTATCATTCAAGCTTAACGAACCTAACAGAAACATAACCTTAGACAATAATTTAAAATGTCAATTTCGTGACATAAATTTTTCACGATAGCAATAAAACTAACATGGTTGCATGCAGTTGGAATACTGATGTATATGTCACATAAAATTACCACGTTTTGTTTGGTGACCAAAACCGATGAATCTATCGAAGTTCTAAAATCCAACTGTCACTGTTGAACCAGGGGCCATGAGTGATGTTCTATGCATGTAAAAATAATTGATAGACTATAAAAACAAGTCTTTCTTTTCAGAACCTAGGAATTTCATTTATTACTTTCATGGGGAATTATTTAGCTAATTCATTACACTGATTGTACTTGAATATGTATCCTTTGGCCTACTGACAAATTTGCACAGACTCCAGAAGTTTGATTTAAAGGCTGCTTTACTGCTACTTCTAGAGAAAATGGATTGTAAAATCCACTGACAAAATTGGATTTTCAACTCCATAAACGACAACAAGGCATACGTGATTTCTTGGGGAAACTGATGATCTCAGTGTTCACCCTGTTCACCTAGTCTATAACATTACAACTGGCGTATTCATGCTGCGGATGATTTTTTGTAGAAAGCAGACGTTTGCGTTGACCGATTACTGATTAGAAAATAATGTCATTCTTGTCTAGTCTTTTAGTGATGATCAATTCCTATTGATCTTGTTGCAATGTGGCTACTAGTTTTAACTACGCAACGGTGACTGCATTATGTTTAAGTATTGTGTACTTGGATATATTTGTCCAACAGGTACGGATTTTATTTTTATGGGCTTGTAGTTGACCGTTATTGATGTCAAAATAAACTAATCATTTGTAACAAGCACAAAAACGATCACGGGAATATAGATATTCTAAGCGAAGATGGATAGTGGTTAGCAGTGGAAACCAGGACGTGTAGCTCGTCCTGTTTGTGACTCGTCAACTGGATGTACCTGCATCTGAGTTGATGTTTACACTGGGACTCGAACCCAGTACTGTTCGCTTCAAACGCCATCATTTTATCCACTTACCTACTGAGTCCTATTAACTACCTGCTTGTGCAATGAGGTGAAGTTTAAATTCACTTGGTGTTGTTCTACTTATATCTTCCCATTGCTATTTAATACTGCAATTGATCAGTCTGCAGTTGATGAGTCCTAAATAGGACGAAACGCGCATCCTGGATTCCACTGATAGCCAACACCCATATTTGCTTAAAAAGCTTGTGACTTAAGGCAATACCGAGGCAATCGGCATAGGATGCATATATGCCAACATGAGACTGATCAATTGCAGTCTTAAATAACAATGGGAAGATACAAGAAAACAACACTAAGTGAATTCTCTTTATGAATATGGTTTACCTCTTTAAACAACTTATTCTGATAGTATCATTATGTTACAAATATTTTTCATGATATAAGTACCCTGAAAACATAGTAAATATTTTTTAAACTTTGTATTCTCTACTTTTGCTGTTGTGAAGTAAACGAAAC